AAACGTTTCTTTTCGCTTCTTTGAATGTCTCTTTTTATGATCATTTTTTTGGTTTAACTGACCAATAAATTTCAATACTTTTTATTCGCCATATTTCATCGCCTATCTTTTCATAGGCAAAGATCTATTCGGGTATTTCTCAGATGATGACAGCCATAAATCTCAATTTAAAGAGTTTTACGCCTGCGGCATCACCGCTTTCATTCCATCTTGATCATCAGCACATTCTCCTTCAAAGATTTCGGATGCAACCAATAATTCAAATATATAATGTGAAACTGAACAGAATGTGCAATAAAAATTATTCTCTCATTAAAGCGAACAAGTCTTCGGAACTGAGTGCATAAAAACAACAGTTTTTGATGAGCAAAAAAACTGCTGAATTGTCTCTTCTCCCACACTCGGATACATTCAGACAGCATGTTGAACACTTTTTGGATCCAGTGCTAGATACGTCAAATTGCCATTGTTTCGAATTATTTCATGAATGATTTGCAAATTACATTCCGATGTAATGATAGAAGTACAATGACTTTTCCACTTTTCATCATTTCGAATCACTATTTACTGTTATCAACTCAACAGCTTTCTCAGCTTTACCATTTCGGAAACAGTGATCAATTTGTACAAAAGTTTCCCATATCAATATAAACTTCAATGTCCAACACATATGTCCATACAGCACCGATCGCAAATCAGACTATGAATACAATCATTGTAGAAAAATATATGAGCCATTATTTCCTATTTTCTTGGATGAAAGCCTCGAGTCTTTTCTCGCGAAAAACTCAAAAAGTGCTTGAATTTAGTGATTACAGATCTACGCTCTTGAATGGAGAGTCTTTCATCCGTAAGATGCTTCCTCTGTAGGATATTTTCACGCTTTTCCAATGAAATGATTGAGGTGATTAAGTGAATGCTATCAGATAGAGGTGTTCTGCTGAAGCATGTGGTCTACAATCAAGAGAGGGCTTGGCTTCTATTACTTGGAGCGGCTATTCATGGAATATGATAGATGATATGCGATTATCTATACATAAATCAACATGCGTTCACCATCACAACATCGATTAATAACGAAAAAACACTTCAATACAAAACAAGCATAAATACATAAAATATCTTTCTAATTAAGGATATATCCTCTCGTAAACAACAGACGTGTGCTCCATGAGATGATGCGTTACTGTACCCATGAAAAGACGTGCTTCAAGATGACCTGGATCAAGTAGTGTCCAGCTTCTGATCATCTGAAATTTCAAAGCTTCTGATCAAAGTTATATAACTGAAATTTCAGTCACATAACTGCACAATCGCCAAAATTCATCCCAAAAACATTCCATCGTAGAAAGCAAACGAGCATTTAAGAACTGAACGCTATTTATGTTACTTTTCAATTAATAGAACTTCTTTGGACGAAGAACTGAAGCCATCGAAAGGATACTCAAAAATAGAAATATTTGTCTGATTTTAAGGGGAATCAATGGAATAAATCAAAATTCTGCGAAAAGCGTTCACGGAGGCAATAGGCGAGGTGATGTGGAAACAACGGAATACACAAAAAATAAACGAATGAATAGTTAATAAACTAAATCTGACCGTTCTAACGGGTAAATCCCGACTGAAACTGACTCGACCGATACGGCGCATTGTCAAAGTCACTGCATTATCTTCTTCGTAGCCGCGTTCAATTGTTGCAAAACCTTAAATAACGAATAACATTATGATTTTTAAGAAAACGCTCATCAGCAAACAAATCGGCAGTATAACGGCAACATCAATTAGCGAGTATGCAACTTGCTCATGGTTTCATGTTATAAAATGGGTAATTTCTGGTGATGGGAATGATTGCGAAACCGTGAAGGGGAGCTTCGGTTTACTTCAATTTGAATGACATCTTTTGGTGGGTTAGCATGGGTTCGAGTAGTGTGTGAATGAAGAAAATCGGTGAATAAGACTGTCAAGTGCATAGTTCTCTTGTAACAGTCTACATGGACGCGATTTCTCCCTCCTCTGATTATTTGATTCATCTTCGTGGCAGATCAGGATGAAAACAAAAACTGATCAGCTGACGTGTTCTTTTAAGATCATCGATGTTACGAATGGAATTGATTTCTTGAATAAGTGCACATATTGAAAAAAATTTTTGGACATCTAAAATGAAGTGAAGAGGAATCAGTCAACCACGGTTTGCCAAGACCTACATTTCCTTCTTGAGATACTCAAACTCTTTTTGAGGGGAGAGAGTCCCCTCCGTGCTAATCACTGATTTAGTTAGTCTATCATTCAATGCCGTTCAAAATTTATCACATATTTCAAATTAAATTCTGAAACACTATTCAAATTGTTTTGATATAGTCTACATCCACCGAAATGAATAGATCCACATGCCATGATAGGGAGAATGTTGAACTGATAGTGAAAACAAAATGAATTGGTTAACGATAAATGGAACGACTATACTGACCATTGCTCATAATTGTATTCATCGAAACATTTCGTGTGCCGTTTTCAACCGTTATGAAGCCATACTCGCTATGTAGCTCATCATTATTATTGTTAGCCCATGCAGTAGCACTGGAATGCGTAGTTTTGTAAGTACATTTTCATCTGAACGTCAACTTTTGCTGAGTTAAAATGATATCTGAGATTTATCCATCATCAGACCATGCTGCTCTTTGTCATAACAACGGTTGTAAACATTATTTCCTGATCCTATCCATCAAACTGCCGCTTATTTCATGAAAATCGATTCAAAGAAAATTTCGAGGA